TGGACTACCCCCTACTCCTACCCACCTCATACAATCTCCTCAGGGACCCCTCAGGCAACTTCCATCCACTAGCACTACAAGGCCACCTTCGGTTAGTGGCCTGGACCATTTCAGGGGATCCTGGAATGTCTCAGGCCTTTCGACTAGTGCTCAAGGACTACTATGGGACTCTTGGGCCCCAGGCACAAGACGTTCTTATCGCTCAGCGTGGCAATGCTGGAATAGCTGGTGCTTGGAGAGGGACGCTGATCCCTTTTCAACCTCTCTGATTAACATTATGAATTTCCTGGCATCACTTTTGGAACAGGGTAAGTCCTATCGGTCAATTAACGTTGTCCGTTCAGCCATTTCGGCAGCCCATAGCCTGGTTGACAACTCCGCGGTTGGTAAACACCCCTCCATATGTAGACTTCTGCGAGGCATGCGCCTCGCGAGACCCCCGGCTCCAAAATATAATCAATATAATCAATAGTAACATCCCAAAATTGATTATATTTTGGAGCCGGGGGTCTCGCGAGGCGCATGCCTCGCAGAAGTCTACATCTACATCTACATCTGGCCCAAAACATGACTCCACCACCGCCTTGCTGACGTCGCAGCCTTGTTGGAACAGGGTGGCCGTCCACCAACCATCCAGGGTTGCACGGATGGTTGGTGCACATCAGTGAACAGGACCGTTTGAAAATTAGTCGTCATGTATTTTTCTGCCCAATGCACCCATTTCTGCTTGTGAGCATTGGTTAGTGGTGGCTGAATAGAAGATTTATGCACAGTTACAAGACTCTGAAGGACTCTATACCTTGATGTCCGTGGAACTCCGGAGGCACCAGCAGCTTCAAATATCTGTTTGCTGCTATGTAATGGTATTTTAGCAACTGCTCTCTCGATCCGATGCATGGATCTGGCAGAAATCTTCCTCAATGTGCCTTTATCTGCACGAACCCGTCTGTGCTCTGAATCAGCCACAAATCTTATTAGTGTGTGATGATCACGCTTAAGTTTTCGTGAAATATCTAATGTTTACATACCTCATCCAAAGCATTGAACTATTTCACTCTTTTTGGCAGCAGAGAGATCCTTTTTCTTCCCCATATTGCATGAACATTGTGCTCTGCTTAATAAAGTGGAACACCCTCCTTTAGTAGTTTTTCCTTAAATTGGGCTCACCTGGCAATCTAATTATCACAGGGGTCCAAGATTGTTTTCAGTGATCAAAAGAGCTCTGAGACACAATGCCATCCATGAACTGAAAAACAAAATATTTAATCTTTGTGACACTTTAATAGAATTTGCATAATAATTTGGAACAGGGTGTTAAAACATGATGATGCCATTTCTACAGCCGAGCTTTATACTCACGATTTTGCTGCACACGGTTTTACGAAACCGCAGGAGTATTTTCATTCTGAGACACTTTAGGGCGTGCTTCTGAATATTGACAGGAGGCTTACCTCCTGCAGATTGAAGAGTTTGGACAAGGAGGCCATGATCAACAGTGTCAAAGGAAGCAAAAAAAATACCGGGAAACCCACGTGTGTCTGAGCCTACGTCTGATTACTGGATGGTTGATTCGCTAGCAAAGTCAGCTGTAAGCTATGTCTGGCTGCAGCTTTGACAGGGATCCGTCTGAGACACCTCTTCTGCTAGGAAGTTTACCTCAGGACAGGACTACCCTCAATACAAACTGAAACAAACTTAATCACTCTGTGTAACAGAGATGCTGCCCCCGGCTGCAGTGAACTTCCTGTTGTTGCTGCAGGTGAGGTTTTTAGTGGGGTTTATATAGGTACTAAACCCCTCCCAAAATTCCAGGCTCCCACTATCTCCTTACCTAACTGCTACTGAAACGTACACCCACTTTTTATATAGTTTTACTCATTTTTTAGTACAAAAAAAAAAAAAAGGTTATTTGATTAGCAGTGTGCTTCGGTGCCACTGCTTTTGTTTGGAAGTTGTAAGCTTCTACCCTCAGTGTGGCTGCAGTTTCCTGCACAAGTGAACCCTGTCTATACCAAGTGTGGCAAATGTTATTTAACGTTTTGTAGAAAAAAATAATAATTCTAAAATGTGGTGATGCTGGTGGTCATTTCCTTGTTCATCCACCAGACACAGTTGGAAGTAAAAACCAAAGAAAAACAGTTACCTGCGCTCTCTCCTTAATCCCTATTGTATATTTAAATAAATGGAGGTCATTTAGTTACTCCAATGGCCACTGGAAGGAATGCCCGTCTGCCAAAGGGCAGACCCCCCATAGACGGGTCCTACTCTGACCCTTCACCCTGCTTCCTTGAGCTTCTGGCAAAGATCTCTCTATTGAGACAGAAAGGTTTTTGTTTTTTTTATATACACCCCTATATAGGAGACCCTACACCTTGCTTCCTGGAGTTTTTGGCAAAGATATCTCTAATGAGACAGAATGTAGCGGATGGCATTGGGCTGTCCACAGAATTATGTGTTTTAATATGCTTTCGGTTAATTTTGCCGTGTGTTGTATGCAGCATTCGTCTGATTGTTCGGTAAAATCACTCCAGTTATTATACGAGTGAAACTACCGAACAATCAGACCACCCCAGGAATAAGTGTGCCTCCAATTACCGTTCGCAACAATGTTGCAAACTGGTAATTGGCAATCAGTGCAGTGTGTGCTTTGTCCTCTGGGTGGCAGTCATTCGGGAAACGAACACGTGGCGGCGGCCATTTTAAACTCCCGAACAGCTGTGTTTTGCAGTCGAGTGTCTGGAACCCAAATCGGACACTCGACTAGGCAAACACCGCTGAAACCTCCACGCTGCCATCAATTTGTGTAGAAACTACCGAACGACTCACCGTTCGGTAGAAAGAACCCCAACGAACAAGGGGGTTTATCCGAATTCTTCCCAGTCTCCATAACCCAAGCCATTCGTGCATTTTATTCCCTTTTTCTGTGAACGACCAAAAAAACGTATGGAACTGTTTTCTACCTCCGTGAATTTCCCGAACCCCTGGTCCGATCTGGGTGATTTTTGAATATGTCACTTACCCAGATCAGGGCTACCAGAGGATTTTAAATTTAGAGGTGTGGTACATCCAGAAAACGAGGGGAACTGTGTACTGCATAAAGGGATTATGAGTCATACTAAGGGGAGGGGATGTGTGGGTGGCAAATCATGTATGACTGGTGTACTGTATAATTAATGTGAATCACTCCCTTGCATGGGAGAAAGCTTTAAAAGAAGGTTGAGTGATTACAAGTTCAGTTCTGCTCCTGATGCTGTGTGTCGTCCAGTCATTGGGATCTGTATTGGGATATTCGTGGATTACCTTGCCTGCGTGGATTTTATTACTTGTTCCTGAGCCTCACTGGGATCTTTAGTGGAGATAACCTGTGAAATACCAGCTCTCCGCTACACAAAATAAACCACTATAAAGACGGGTCCTACTCGACCTTGCTTCCTTGAGCTTCTGGCAAAGATATCTCTAATGAGACAGAAAGGGGTATTTGTTATATACCCCCCTATATACTTATTAACCCTTAATAGGGAACACATGGGATGGGCGGAAGCATTGTGTGATACAAAAAGTGAATACAAATACAAAAAGAAAAGTCCTGCGCTCACTTCCATCACTCCTGGGCAGCAGCAACAACCACAGTACACATCAGCTCCAATACATATAGTAAAAAACAAAGAAAAAGTTACCTGCGTTCTCTCCTTAATCCCTATGTATAGTTAAACAAATGGAGGTCATTTAGTTACTCCAATGGGCACTGGAGGGAATGCCCAACTGCCAACATCAAGGCAGACCCCCCCCTAGATGAGTCCCTTCACCTTGCTTCCTTGAGCTTCTGGCAAAGATATCTCTAATGACACAGAAATTGGTATTTTTTCATATACACCAATGGGATGGCATGGGCGGCAGCATTGTAACCTAGCTGTGTGATACAAAAAGAAAAGTCCTGCGCTCACTCCCATCACTCCCGGGCGGCAGCAACGACCACAGTACACATCAACTCCAATACATATAGTAAAAAAGTTAGAAAAAAGTTACCTGTGCTCTCTCCTTAATCCCTATGTATATTTAACCCCTTAGGGACACGACATGTGTGACATGTCATGATTCCCTTTTATTCCAGACGTTTGGTCCTTAAAGGGTTAAACAAATGGAAGTCATTTATACGAGTGAAACTATAAATGACTGGAGGGAATGCCACTGGAGGGAATGCCTGCCTTCCAATATCAAGGCAGAACCCCCTAGACGGGTCCTACTCTGACCCTTGGAAGTAGCTGATAAGGCAATTTATTCACCACACTGGAGAACAGTCACTTATTTTTCCAAGGAAAATGTGAGAGTGCATGGGCAATTGACCTTCAATTTCCACCCAGAGAAGAACAAAGCTTTCCTCATGACCAGTCTATACCATATTCTAGTGCCCGTACCCAATCATCAAAAGATTTGTTCTGGTCAGGGTGAAAGTGGTGAGTGGGTGGTCAATTCCCCAATGACATTTCCTCTCAGTTTTTTGTTTTTTAATCTAGATCTAAAAATAAAATCGAAATTTGCATTGCAAACATGCATTATTTCATACCACCAATAATTTGTTTATGTAACAAATTATTAGAAGATGTTACATAGAATTTATGGAACTATGCTATATTTTGGATTAATGAGATTATGTAATAATCTGGAATACAATATTGACTATGCACTAATAGTTATTTTCTTTAAGATTGTAAATATAATGAATGTCCTATACATCAAAGGAACCACATGACAACATGTACTCTAGCAACATTCAGAGTAGGATTTGACAAATAACTTATTTGTGTCAGTATTTTTTTTTTTTGTTGCAGGTACATATTGCATCAAAGTCTTTGGCGGTACATCATGGGTAATTTCTTTGAAACGTCTGGGTGCTCTGACAGTTACTGATGTGAGATATCGGGATACGATATGTGTTATGTCTTCTATTGTACTCCAAAGTTTTTTCTTAATTAAAAATACAAAACGTCAATAAGATACATTTTAATTAAAAGATATTGCATACATATTTATACCGACACAACGTGTTTTTATTACAATGTCCAGTTCAGTACCATTGTAATGCTAAAAATATTTTCTGAGTGCAGCTGCCTCTGTTTCCATCTCTTGTTCTGATCGCCATACCTCTAAACAGTCCTTTCTTTCTTTATCATGCTTTTGTAGTTCTTCATATATCTGGTCATTTCTTTCAAAGTCTCCAACTCTCCTAGGCAAAATGTGCACATGAACATGATGAACAGTTTGTCCTGCTTCTGGCCCATCCTGAAGGGAAATAGTGATAGCCGTACCACCAAAATGGCATTCTACTACATTAGCTACTTTTTGGACTGTAAGGAAAAGATCACTAACTTCTTCAGGGCTGAGATCTCTGAAGCGTTTTGTAGCTCTTATTGGACAAACCAACACATGCCCTGGTACCACAGGCTTTCTATTTACCAATGCAAAAGAGAATGCAGTCTTCAGAAAAATAACAGATTGCTTGATGAGATGTTGGCCAAATTTGACAGACATGATAAATCAGAGATGAAAAGGCTCTTCTGGACACAACCTGGACCAAATGTTGTAACCTGGAAATAAATAAGCAAAATTTATATAAAAAATATGATACACGTGTAGACACACGTTTAAATGATCAGACATCACTGATTACACCATACGACAGACAATTAAATGATTAGTGACATCATTAATGACATCATTAATGACATTACTAGTTGCATCATCCATGGCATCCTCATGCAGATGAAAGAAACAATTTATAAAATTATAACACCCTCTAGTTTCCTAGTTCCCTTCTTAACATTTTTCTCACCCTACCCCATATCGTCCCCTTCGCACAAGTAGCTTATTGTTCTTCTAATTTCCTTTCCCTCACTTAACATCACGCTCCTGTTACCTCATGTTCCTGGCCACTTCTACATCACATCAGCAACTGATTATCCTCTCAGTTGATCTATACTAAATAGTCTCTCTGACCCTATTTTCTTCATACACATATTTTCTACAACCCTTTCCTTGGATCACAGTTTGCTTCTCAATCTGTTGCCTCTTACACACATCTATATTTTTATCCTTCTGATTTCCAGGTCTCTAAACAGTCTTTTTTCTTTCTGGAGTCAAGTTATGGCCACTATAAAGATAAAGCAAAATGACGTCAAAATAGCCACCAAGAAAAGTTAACTCTTTCCTGGATAGGTATGTTTAGTGGGACAAGACTGCCCTCTATAGACCAAATACCTAAATTGCGATCCCTAGGTAAGCACACCTCTAGTGCTTCTATTGGGTTATCAACTGATGACGTACAGAGAGTCTGGCCCTTTAAAAGTTAAGACAAAGAGAATAGGTAGAGAAGGATAGAAGGGTATGCAAAGAAAGCAAAGAAGTAAGCAGTCGGAAGCAATGCAGAGAGGCCTATGACAGATATCCACTCTAGGACACTCAGAAATTCCTACACACCTCCATGCAGAGAGACATCCAAATAAGTTCCTGAGACTACCTACCAATCTGAGGAAATATCTACTCAACTGGTAATTATACTGGTTTCATTTAATTAATTAAATTAATCAAAATGAACTAATAGCATGATATATGACTGGATAAATCACGGTCAGATTTCCATATTTAAGAAATCTTAGTTAACTAAAGAATATATAGTTATAAACATTCCATTCTGCAGGTGGAATTAAGAATAATTATATATTGATGTGATATTATCACGTGTTAGCATACCGCTGTTTTTATCCAGGTGTATTGATTTGCTCTAAAATAAGATATCTTTTTAGGCGAATTAAAATCTGCTTATAAAATATGGTAGATTCTCTTATTGGATGGTTCCAGGAAATGACTAATGAACTGGTTTAAATGTTGTTTTATTTAAAATTACATAAGAATAGATCTTAATTACCTAGGAGGTCTAGCCAGCATTGAAAGGGTTATTCTGTTAGCCAGGGTTTTATGGCCCTTCGTTGTGAAAAGCTTCACTTTCAGTCTCTGTGAAAGATAGTCATAAATCATGTAAGTCTTGACAGAAAATGCTGTTTAACCATTGAAACGTGTATAGCCATTCCTTTGTATTGCATACCATTTTATACTGGATATTCATTGATTGATCACGCATGTTACATAATATTATTTGTTAATTGTTATTATAAAATAAAAATCTATTTTTATAAAATTGTGATTTTATTTATATGATATACTTTTCACTTACGATAACGATCTTTGGGATCTGAGAAGTGAATTAGTGGGCAATTCTCACTGTTTACTATTATTATCCCATAAAGATCCCCACAGTTTAACGGAACTGGCTTTGGTCAAATCAAGGCACTTGATCACCATACCTCAACACGGAGGTTTCGCCCACCGCCCCACTTCATAGTTAGCGCCTTGATGAACCCGACTAAGAAAGGGCCTCACTCATCAAGGCCATCTGTTTGAATCTTGTACCGTCACCGAAAGGCCTACACCCCACCACCAGGCTTGAGGTTTTCGCCCCTTAGCCAGTTCATAGCTAATGTCTCTCACTACCGCTTGGGACTTAGCAGGGCCTTATCTTCTCCCGCTTAGTTATTTGCTCTGCCTACAGCATTCGGTTAGCAGGCCAGTTCTATCCCAGCGAGTTATTTCCTTTTAGGTACCATGAAAATTATTCCTTTACACAGTATGTCACAGACTTCCAATATTGGAGAAAATCTGGGTCTCCCGCACTCCACCCCTATGATGGGCTCCCCAGTCAGACCTACTTCTCCAGCGAAGGTTTAAGACCACTACGCTCGTGGACCATCCCGAAAAGATCAGCTGAGCTTCATAGACTAGGCATCCCTTTCCCAGCTACAGCCAGGAAGGCAGAGCGGTATCATTTGTTGTCAGCTCAGCCCGGCACCAGGTTCCAGCTCTCACGTGAAAATCAGAGAACTTGATAGAGATGCATACTATGATATAATTTCTCCTGACTTTAATCAAACACTTGAACCAGTTCCAGTTCTATCCCAGCAAGTTATTTCCTTTTAGGTACCAGTACAATTATTCCTTTACACAGTATGTCACAGGCTTCCAATATTGGTGAAAATCTGGGTCTCCCGGACTCCATCCCTATGATGGGCTCCCCATCAGACCTACTTTTCCAGCGAAGGTTTAAGACCCCGCTACCCCTAGTTCACTACGCTCGTGGACCATCCCGAAAATATCAGCTGAGCTTCATAGACTAGGCATCCCTTTCCCAGCTACAGCCAGGAAGGCAGAGCTGTATCATTTGTTGTCAGCTCAGCCCGACCAGGTTCCAGCTCTCACGTCAACATCTGAGAACTTGATAGAGATGCATACTATGATATAATTTCTCCTGACTTTAATCAAACACTTGAACCCCTTCGTCTACCATTGTACCTCTTCCCCTCCCAAGCACTCAGGGTAATTTTGCTTTGACCACTCCCTCCACATCTACCACCACTCACATTAAACCTGGTGCCCCTACCCTACATGAAGACATTCTGGATGGAAAAGATATAAACTGTGTCATTTGTTCTCAATAAGGTCCTCGTTCTCAAGGCCAGAGACCCACGGTTAAACAAAAATTTGTCCATCCCAGAATTCGTCTTAGCGTTTGTACTGTATAGGGACGTAATTTGTTCACAACACCCTCACCATAGAGAAAAGATGGACTTGTACTTTCACAAATTGGTAGACTTGGGGCATAAATACAGTGGGCACACGTTCTATGACTATCATTAACCGTTCTCTGCTAAAGCAGCGGCAGCATTGGCCCAGTTCAACGTTCATTCGGACTGGACCCAGCTAGATACCGAACTAGATGCCGCCACTTTGCAGGCCTCAGACTCTCGTCATGCGCCATTTGTGCGTCTATTTCTCACGCTAACAATTTTTTGCCCCAGTGAAGCAGACTTTCCAACCACAAGTCAGGCGTTATCTGGAAGCTCCAAATCTGAACAACAGGGGCTGAAAGATAAGTTAGGCAGACCTAGTGTGTTCCTCGGAAAGGCGCACATTTGCAATAACTTCAATGCGGGCAGTTGTGGATTAAGAATTTGTCATCTGTTGCATGTCTCCTTTTGTTTCCAAGCTCACGCTAGGTCAATGTGGCCAAATAGGTTGTTCCCCCCAAAAATGACTTACTTTGCTTAATATTGACAACCTGGCATTTCAGTTAAAGAATAACCCCTTCCTCACAGTTTTTTTTTACAAGGGTTTCACATTGGCATCGTCACACTTCCCTCAGGCTCACTTGAATGTCACAACTTGCAGTTCCCATTGCTCAAAGCCAGCACGGTAGATCTTCTCATTCAGCAAGAAACTAGCCAAGGTTTTATGATAGGCCCTTTCTCCACCCACACGTTTGCAGACTGGCATACTAACCCATTGGTATTGCTACAAGAAAATTCACGAATAAAAAAAAGAATGACAATTTCACCTCTCTGCTCCGCATTCTTCTGCTATCCCTAGAATTCCTTCCCATGAATCTTCTCTCCATGCCTTCGTAGACAAAGCTATATTACCTATACTGAAGATGGGTAAAGCTGCATGGCTTGGTAAGACGGATCTTAAAAAACACTTTTAAGCTGATACCCATCATTATTTCATTGTGGCATCTGCACAGCATAAAAAAAAAGTATTACTTTGCAACCAGGTTAACCTTTGAGGCTAAGAGCAGCCCAATGTTCTTTCATGTCTTTGCTCCTCCTCAATGTCGTGAAGTGTCCAGGTGTGATCCATTACCTATATTATTTCTTGACCGTTGAGGATGGGACCAATGTTCCACAAAGCCTTAACAGCGCACAAGTACTGTTTTCTTGTCTAGAGGTTCCTCTGTCACTGGACAAGACTGCTGGTCCTACCACCTGCTTGGTTTTTCTAGTAATACAATTGGATTCTGTGTTATTAGAAGCCACCATCCCTGTAGACAAGCTCCTGAGAATCAAGGACAATTTTCACAAATTCCTCAGTCTGGGAACTTTTTGCAGAGAGAGTTACAATCTTTATTAGGCACGTTAAACTTTGCCATGAGGATCACTCCTCAGGCCGTTCCTTTATTTCTAGGCTATTATGACGCAGACAATTACAGCATGATCTCTCTTAATCAAAATGCCAGAGCAGATTTACTTATGTGGCAAGAGTTCTTGGACAATTGGTTTGTCCATTGTCTGATGATTCTCCGGTCATCTCGACTGATGCAGCTGCTCATACAGGCTTTGCTGTCATTTATGGGGACAGGTAGTTTATGGATTATTGGCCGGTAGAGGCTACTAACCTACCTTCCTCAGCTCTCTTTGAAATGTGGCAGCTATTCACTTGGGGTTCATTGTGGCAGGATCAGTCAGTCAAACGTTTTTCAGATAATGTGGCAGCTTGTGATGTGATGTTGTGTTGCGCTGGAGTGACACTTTAAAAAACAAACAAAAAACACTTTGTTTGGAGGCAGAGCTTAAACGCAGAAGCGAACGGAGGCAAGCAAAGGGAGCTCCGAGCTGCAAACGGAGAAAAACGATTGAAATATCCCCCAATCGACAAGCAAATCTCCCAAGACCTGGGTGCTGGGGTTTAGTATAGACGAGGGTGGCTTTTTTTTTTTTATTTATTTTTTTTAATATTGTGCTTTACAAAATAAACCTACTATGAAAATTTAAGTTTGTGGGTCGCAAAAAAAACACAAACTTAAAGGTACGCTATAGTCACCAGAACAACTACAGCTTATTGAATTTGTTCTGGTGAGTAGAATCATAACCTTCACGCCTTTTGCTGTAAACACTGTATTTTCAGAGAAAATGCAGTGTTTACATTACAGCCTAGTGATAACGTCACTGGCCACTCCTCAGATAGCGGTTAGAGATCCTTCCTGGGTCATGGCTGCCTAAAATGCATCCAAACATTCAGTGTCTCCACCCTCTGCATGCAGACACTGAACTTTCCTCATAGAGATTCATTGATTCAATTCATCTCTATGAGGAGATGCTGATTGGCCAGGGCTGTGTTTGAATCATGCTGGCTCTGACCCTGATCTGCCTCTTTGTCAGTCTCAGCCAATCCTATGGGGAAACATTGTGATTTGATCAGGCCACCACTTCTGATGATGTCAGACTGTTTGTTTTTTTGAGGCAAACAGCATGCAGATCTACAGCTTCTGGCTTGAATGCAGTAAGATGTTGCTATATTTATGGAGGCATGAAGGGCCCAGCGTGGCTAGATGCTGGTTTTAACACTATAGGGTCACTATAGTGATCCTTTAAACCTTGTTTATTCAGCCCGTGCAAGCCTTTGAGTTTGACATGCTTGCGAATGAATCAGATTTGCAAAATATGCAGTACAAAACACACTGTGTGTGTCAAAAAGGCAGAAAGAAAATGCTAAATACCACTACACTTGGTACAATTTTTTTGTACAAATTGTTTAACGCTAAGGTTCAAAGTATGCTTTTTGAAATACCCTGGGTTGTCTTCTTTAAGAAGTTGTATGCCTTTGTGGGGTAGTTGGAATAAGCAGCCTGCTAACATACTTCAAAATAGAACACTGACCTATGAAAACATCTATGAAAATTTACACTTAAAAATCTGAAATGGACACGTCTCTTTTACAGCACTGTATCTTCACAAAAGAGTGTCTATGTCATGGACATAGACAACATTGGGCATACTGATTTACTCGGATGAGGTAACTGAGAATAATTTTATGACACTGGCACATGTGCGAAATACCCAACAAAAATGCAACATGTTTGTAAAAAAAAAAAAAAAAGCCTTTTTTTTTTCTCTACACAAAATTTTACATAAATTGGTGAAAAAATGGCTGCAACTTAAGGTCTCTAAATAAGATGTCTGAAGTGTCTGCTTTCTCAAATGGAAGGCCTTTGTGAGGTTATTCAAAAATTAGACATGGGACCATCAAATCCATCTATGAAAATTCGAACTATGAAAAAGCTTGGCATTGTAGCTTCACAGAATAGTGTGTATTGTGTTGAGCAGATGCAGCTGAACACAATATATGTTTTTTACAGGAACAACACACACAAGCTTTACAAAATACAAATTTGATTCTAGGAGCAGCTAAAAAAGTTAGGAGCCAGATTTAAAAAATAAAATAAAATTACACAGCATTCTATTGAACGACAAAAATACAATTCTTAAAGGGGCACGATAGTCACCAGGGCCACAATAGTGGTTCTGGCGTCTGTAGCCTGTACCTGCATGCTTTTCAGTGTTTACATTGCTTCCTAGTGACACCTCTAGTGACCCTCACTCACAGTGTGCAGCACCTACATTCAGCGTCTCCATGCTCTGCATAGAGGTGCTGAATGTTGCCCAAAGAGATGCATTTATTCAATGCATCTCTATAAGGAGAGGCTGATTGGTGCAATGTTTTGCTGTCAATTCTATAGACAAAGGCAGGGCCACACGTGGCGTGAAAAAAAAAAAAAAAAAAAAGTGAGTAAAAACACCATTCCTTTGCAAATGGAAGGGGTCTGGTAACCTAAACCATGACAGACACGCACACACACATATACCATGACAGACAGACTGAAATACACAAACATACTGACTAAAGCAAACTAATACATTCTCTGACACACATCTTGCCTCCATTGCTGTTGCTATGTAGCCTGCCTTTTGTTGTTAGGAGCGCTCACACCATATTTTTTAAATTTTTCCTATGTTGCCTGCACCTGGTGGCCCTTCATTTCCTGTCCAGTGTGTGAGGGCGAGGGAGCAGAGCAAGGACATCACAGCTCCCTCACCCCCCACCTACTATTCGCGCAGCTAGCCGCCTGCCTCCACAAGCACCCAACTTGCCGCCCGCCTCCTGCCTGCCGGGCTCACAGATCACAGACGCCAATGCCAAATTCCTAGGTGCCATGGCGACCTGTTGAGCCCTGTAGTAATATATATTTTTGTATGGCAATTTTGTTTTCTGTGATGGCTATTAAACTTATAAGACAAACATACTAACTTCTAAAGTTTTTTCACATTAAAATTCTATATTAGTACTTGTATTTTGCGACCTGTAACTCTCAAAATAAACACAAATCCTACACATTATGTACTTGATAAATCAATACACATAATTTATTTTTAATTACTTTTCCTAATCTTAAAAATTGTGAAATCAGTGAAAAACTTATTTTCACCCATTATTTTTTATTTTTTAATAATAAATGATATAGATAAATATATATATATGATGATGATCACGCAAATTTGTATAGAAAGCATTCTCATTGAATTTTTTTGTTTGGTGTACTAGTCGGGATCAACATCCCTGCCAGTGGGACTAGCCAGCCTGTCAAGGCAAAGCGCATTTGTAGTATATCACAGTTTGTGAGTGAGCTTTTTATTTTGTGTAAAATTTTTATATCTGTTTTGTGCCTCAATGTTTTTCTGCATATATAATACCACCTCCATTAATATACGGATATTAATGATCCGGTCAGAAGTGTCCCTATGTGTAACAAACTCAGCCTGAAATGTGGAGCAAATCCTAGGTTTTATATTGGCTCAGAACTTGGACAACTGCCTCTGTCCTAAACAAACCCTGTAGGCACTGTAAAGAACAATAATACCTACAAGGTAATGCGTTCAGGAGCAAATTCACTTGTATATGGCTTAATTGATACAGTTGAATAAAGTTAATATCTAGAACACTAGATGATAATTTCACCAGGATGTATGGTGTGTATACCTTTAAATCTGCTACAGGCAGATTCTATTTGTTACACACCAAATAATCTGCTTAATATAAAGCAGTAACTTAGTACAGATTAACCATATGAAAACTGGTTATCTGTTTGATATTAATATACACACTGTTATATATAGTGTGTGTTTCGCTTTAAGTGATCTGTTTGCAGACTAAATAGTGCAAAAACAATATTGGACTTTCAGTAAAGAGATATATAAAACTTCATAATCTCTATACTTAATATTAAAGTACAGTCACTTAAAATACAAATAAGCAAAAATAAAAATAAAAAATAGAAATTTCTAAGAAACACTATTAAAAGATGAATGATAAAAAATAATGATATAAAAGTTTATTCACAATGCAAAAATCATAAAAGAATAATCCCAAATGGAATAAAATACAAATACAAAAAATAGGAGCCAGGAACGGTCAGCAAGTCTTTAGCCAATGCAGATATTACACAGATGACTTTATACACACTAGGGATCGACCGATTATCGGTTTTACCGATATAATCGGCCGATATTCGGTATTCTCGGCAATATCGGTATCGGCCAATTCAGATACCGATATTGCCGATAATACCTCCTAGGACCCCCAGGCTCATTACAAGCCCGGCGGTCCTGGGGGGGGCGGAGAGCAAGCGCTTACTCACCTCCCAGCAGCTCCTCCAGCTCCCCAGTGCAACTCTCGCGAGACCCGCGGCCGTCAGAGCGTTGCCATGGGTCACCGTGGCAACGCTCCGCGCGACACGCTGGCCGCGAGAGTTGCACTGGGGAGCTGGAGGAGCTGCTGGGAGGTGAGTAAGCGCTTGATGCCTGCTCCCCCCAGAGCTCAGCCAATACCACTGGACCACCAGGAACTGTCATATCCCCCTTCCCTGGCCAGGTAACAAGCAGGGAGGGGGGACAGCAACAAAAAAATTAAATCTAAAAAATAATAATAATTTAATAAAAAAATGCCCCCTCACACACACTCCATTATATACACATACACTACACAAACACACTGTGTATATAATGCAGTGTGTGTATAGTGTGTGTGTGTGTATACAATGCACACAAATACACACACTGCATTATATACACACACTACACAAACACACACTGCATTATATAAACACACTACACAAACACACTGCATTATATACACAAACTATGCAAACACACTGCATTATATACACACACTACATTATATACACACACAGCATTATAAAACACACTACACAAACACACTGCATTATCACTACTCTACAGTGTGTTTGTGTAGTGTGTGTATATAATGCAGTGTGTTTGTGTAGTGTGTGTATATAATGCAGTGTGTTTGTATAGTGTGTGTATACAATGCACACAAATACACACTGCATTATATACACACACTATACAAACGCACTGCATTATATACACACACTACACACACACTGTATTATATACACACACCACACAAACACTGCATTATATACACACACTACACAAACACACTGTAGTGTAGTGATAATGCAGTGTGTTTGTGTAGTGTGTTTATATAATGCTGTGTGTGTATATAATGTAGTGTGTGTATATAATGCAGTGTGTTTGCATAGTTTGTGTATATAATGCAGTGTGTTTGTGTAGTGTGTTTATATAATGCACACTACACAAACACACTGCATTATATACACACAGTATACAAACACACACACTCTGCATTATATAAACACACTACATTCACTATACACACACACACACACACTACACAAATACACACTTTGCAATTTACTATATACAGCATTCACTTTATGCACACTACCCACACACTACACAAACACTCTGCTTTCATTATATACACTACACTAATACACACTGCATCCACTACACAAACACATTGCATCCTCAACACACACTACACAAACACACGCTGCATCCACTACACACACTACACAAACACACACAGCTCCCCTGTCTAAACACACTGCATCCACTACATGTGGCATGTATATTTTGTGCATTTACCTTTAGAAATAGTTTTTATTTTCCAAAATGGTAAATGTACAGAATATCGGCAAATTATATCGGCTATCGGCATGAAAGTTCACAGAATATCGGTATCGGTATCGGCGCTAAAAAATCAATATCGGTCGATCCCTAATACACACAGTAACTATTGAGGATTACAGTGGATACTGTTGTATCAGAACGGAATGATTTTACTTGCCGGCTGCTGGGGAGGTTGGCGTGCGTGCCAAACCTCACTCTGATTCTTAGGTGCTGGCAGTCCGTTAGTCCCCAGGTCGTGAATGCCGTATGGGGGAAGGAAAGAATTACTTCTGCTGGCGTCTGGCTGCTCTTCGTATCCTGCTCACTATCACAGCAGGATACGAAGAGCAGCCAGACGCCAGCAGAAGTAGTGAAGCTAGTGAAGTAGTCCCACTCACCTACCCCTTTAAGAATTGCATTTTTTCGTTGATGGATCTGCATGCAATAGTGGTTATTGTATAAGAGAGGGGCAGTAAGTGGGGAAAAGTGCAAAATACAGTGCAGGCTAATCACCCCAAAATAGGGATCACTCCCAGTCCCAATAAAATACGAACAAATACGTATAGTTAAAAACATATACCACCGGGGGCGCCACAATCACAAACATGTGAATATATTTACCACGTTATATTCATGGGTATACATATAAGGAGATAAAAACAAAAATATATATGGTGAAGTATTTAATAACAAGCAAAACAAAATGATAAAAACAAATGCACTCACAAATGTAGTTGCACAACAAGAACATATGTCTTAATTGTGCTGAAAAAGCTTGTCAGCCCTTTCCTGGGCTAAAGTCCCCTCTTGTAGTAGGATCCCGGTTTTCAAAAGTTCCAATAACTTCCAGTGATGATTTACTCGAGGCTGGATAAGATCCAAAGATACTAGGGACACTGGCAAACTTTTGACCGCTCGACGCGTTTCGTCCGATCGACTTTTTCAAGAGCTGTGTGTCTCTGTTCTTCTTCCGGCTTTTTAAATAATCAAGTTCGCGCTGCTTTCAGTACTGCGCGCATGCGCATTGCGGTAAAAATTTACCGCGCATGCTCGCACATCCAGCTTGAAACGCAGAACAACTTTATTGATACTTTATGCCGGCAGACACATTTCCGTACCGGACCACTTGGTCTTACGGAATAATATGTGGGCACTTCAAACTTGTGCATCATACATGATCTAATGTTCATACATAGAATACTGGCAAACCATCTTTCTTAAGGAAACCAAAACATTTTAAAAGCAAGATAAAAAACATTTTAAGTACATCACATTTTAGAATTCTACTGTTAGAGATGAGAAATTAAACATACTATAGAAAGGAAGATTGAGCATACTATAGAAAAAATATGTAATAGAGACATAATATTACGTTTTATACAATGTTGCAATACTTTATTTGTATATAACAGACTATATAGAAAACTGGTATTTGTATATAACAAACTGTATAAATAACTGATAATCATTTTATTCGGATGAGAGACCTGGCGAAGACATCATTAGATTCTGTTAAAATAATTCATAAATCAATGAGAGATTAGTTCATTAAAAATTAATTCATTAAAAAAATTAATAAATTATTAATAAAAAATAGTAAAAATTGGTGCAAGTTAATACCAATTCTATGGAAACAAGAAAAATGTATAATATAATAATAAAACAACCAATTAATAAAGGGGACTTCTAAAAACCCAAATTCTTTATAAATAATTTATAAAATTCAGTCCATAAACACCAATAAGTCCAAATCAACATTTAGACCTCTTGGAAAAGTGGTTTTAAGTCTATGAATCCACTCTGTTTCTTTCATGGCTGGCGCTTTTTCCGTATCACCCCCTCTCCAGTGTGGGATTATCGTATCTATCCCTATACATCTAAAATCTTGGAAACTAAAATGGGTGAAATTTATACAATGTTTGGGAACGCTATGTTTTATGTTTCCTCTTTTTATCCCATTAAAGTGTTCCAAGATTCTAATATGGAGTTTTCTTATCGTACGACCCACATATTGAATGCCACATTTACATTCAAGTAAATAAATTAAATTTTTTGTCTGACAATTTATAAAAAATTTTATTTTAAAAACTTCTTTAGTGGCAGTGCAGGTAAATTCTGTTTTCTGTTTTTGGAATTTACATGTACTGCACTGCCCACATTTAAAAAAACCTTTTGGTTTTTCTTTAAGGAAATTACCCGATGTGGCTTCTTCTTTAATGGGTTTGATACGAGGTAAAGCGCTTGGAACTAAAATAGATGTAAAATTCTGGGTATTTTTATAGATAATTTGGGGTTTACTTGGTAAAATATTCTTAAAAAATTGATCTTGTTTTAAAATGGGCAAAAATGTCTTAATAGTTTTCTCTACAAGATGAGCTTTATTATTGTATCTAGTTAGAAAGGAGATACTGTAATCCTTCTTGTTTTTCTTTTATACCTTTTTATTTTTTAAAAGTTTATTTCTATCTTTGTTTTCTATCTGTTTTTCTGAATTAATCAAAAGTTGAGATGGATAATGTCTTTTTTCAAATGTTTTATTTAACATTTTAACCTGTTCTTTAAAATCACTTTTGTTAGTGCAGTTTCTAAGGAGTCTCGTTTGTTGTCCCTTCGGTATATTATTCAGCCAATTAGGGTGGTGACAGCTAGAATATTCTATGAAGCTGTTCCCATCCGTTGGCTTAAAAAAAGTTTTATTACAAACTACTCCTGATGATACAAAGAAAGAAAGATCTAAAAAATTGATACTCTCCGTCTGAATTTCAGCCGTAAAACGCAATCCATAAGTATTATTATTGATGTATAATAAAAATTCTTCTAAAAGAGACCTATCCCCTTCCCAAATAATAAGGACGTCATCGATATATCTTCTCCAGAGCACCAGGTTCGCACCAGTGGATTATTATTCCAAATTTTCTTCGCTTCCCAATCCGCCACAAAAATATTTGCATAACTAGGTGCGAACCTGGTGCCCATTGCAGTTCCACAAGTTTGTACCTTCAAACCAAAAGAAATTATGAAAAAGGATAAAACGAATGATGTCTAAAATTAAAGTGGCTTGTGCTTCATGCATATTTATATCCTTTCCCAAAATTTCTTTAATGGCCTCAATACCTTTCTCATGATCAATCGACGTATACAAAGATGAAACGGCTACCGTGGCCCAGATGTAGTTATCTTTCCACACCATGCCTTCTACCTCTATAATAATTTGATTTGAATCTTTAATGTATGAGGGAGCTTTTGGAACATATTTCTGTAAAAAATGATCTACATACTATGAAACATTACTAGTCAAAGAGCCAATGCCCCTAATTATTGGCCTCCCCGGAGGATTAATAAGTGACTTGTGAATTTTTGGCAAATAATAAAATATAGCCATTTTTGGAAATTTAATAAAAAGATATTCAAATTCGTCCTTCTTAATAGTATTTTTATTAAAACTTTCTGACAGTAATTTAAAAAGCTATTTCTTATATGTTTCCATAGGATTAGATTTTAAAATAATGTATGTGTCTCTATCATTTAAAATTCTATACGATTCTTTCAAATAATCATCACGATTTAGAATAACTATACCCCCCCTTTATCTGCCTGTTTTATAACAAGTTCGTGGTTTTCTTTAAGTTGTTTTAAAGCATTTTTTTCTTTTTTAGTGAGGTTCTCCTTTCCATTATTCTTTGTTATTGTCTCGAATTCATTTAGAACCATATCACTAAAAACCGGGATGAAATCTCCCTTTTCCCAAGTTGGAAAAAACTTCGATTTATGACCTGAATATAAAATCTGTGGGGATATAGATTCTATAATTTCTGTCTCACTGTTATCGCCAAGTCCCTCATCCTCTCCTTTCTTTTTCTCAAAGAAACGTTTGATAGTCAGTTTCCTCAAAAATTTCTGAGCATCAATAAAATAGTTCAAATTGGTTTGGGCCTTTTTGTGGGGCAAATTTCAGTCTATCTAAAATGCTGGCTTCAGCTTTATTCAATTTGTATTTAGAAAGATTAAAGATACCTTCTAGACTATCATAGTTTTTATTCTCTTCTGACTCTTTCAATAGTCTGACGTTTCTCCCTCCTCCATTTCCCCTAATCCTCCTACGGCTCCTAGGAGTTTTCTCTTTTTGGGTGGGGTTTGAGCCGAACTTAGAGGGGTAAATCTGTTCCTCTGATGCCAATGATTTTTTATTGTTGGACTTCTCAAAACTTGGTTCCTTTGTCCTCTTCCTAAAAAATCTTTCTGTGTAGTTCTTACACTATCTTTTGTCCTATCTGTCTCCATAAATTTTGATTTGTCCTTTCTCCTAACTATGGGATTTTCATATTTCGTTCTCCCAGATTTAATTGGGGTATTCCACTGAACCCTAGATGGTTTTTCAATCTTTCTTCTATCGTCATTTTTATATGTTTGTCTCTCTATATTAGGACTTATTGGTGTTTATGGACTGAATTTTATAAATTATTTATAAAGAATTTGAGTTTTTAGAAGTCCCCTTTATTAATTGGTTGTTTTATTATTATATTATACATTTTTCTTGTTTCCACAGAATTGGTATTAACTTGCACCAATTTTTACTATTTTTTATTAATAATTTTTTACTTATAATTTTTATTAATAATTTATGATTTTTTTTAATGAATTAATTTTTAATTTTTAATGAACTAATCTCTCATTGATTTATGAATTATTTTAACAGAATCTAATGATGTCTTCGCCAGGTCTCTAATCCGAATAAAATAATTATCAGTTATTTATACAGTTTGTTATATACAAATACCAGTTTTCTATATAGTCTGTTATGTACAAATAAAGTATTGCAACATTGTATAAAACGTAATATTATGTCTCTATTACATATTTTTTCTATAGTATGCTCAATCTTCCTTTCTATAGTATGTTTAATTTCTCATCTCTAACAGTAGAATTCTAAAATGTGATGCACTTAAAATGTTTTTTATCTTGCTTTTAAAATGTTTTGGTTTCCTTAAGAAAGATGGTTTGCCAGTATTCTATGTATGGACATTAGATCATGTATGATGCACAAGTTTGAAGTGCCCACATATTATTCCGTAAGACCAAGTGGTCCGGTACGGAAATGTGTCTGTCGGCATAAAGTATCAATAAAGTTGTTCTGCGTTTCAAGCTGGATGTGCGAGCATGCGCGGTAAATTTTTACCGCAATGCACATGCGCGCAGTACTGAAAGCAGCGCGAACTTGATTATTTAAAAAGTCGGAAGAACAGAGACACACAGCTCTTGAAAAAGTCGATCGGACGAAACGCGCCGAGCGGTCAAAAGTTTGCCAGTGTCCCTAGTATCTTTGGATCTTATCCAGCCTCGAGTAAATCATCACTGGAAGTTATTGGAACTTTTGAAAACCGGGATCCTACTACAAGAGGGGACTTTAGCCCAGGAAAGGGCTGACAAGCCTTTTCAGCACAATTAAGACATATGTTCTTGTTGTGCAACTACATTTGTGAGTGCATTTGTTTTTATCATTTTGTTTTGCTTGTTATTAAATACTTCACCATATATATTTTTGTTTTTATCTCCTTATATGTATACCCATGAATATAACGTGGTAAATATATTCACATGTTTGTGATTGTGGCGCCCCCGGTGGTATATGTTTTTAACTATGCGTATTTGTTCGTAATAGTGGTTATTGTGCTTGGAGTTTTACTTTAAACTAACCTGGTCTTTGCACACAAGACTAAGTAGTGCCTACATTGTCTTATGGTATATTTATTATTGTTACGACACGTACCGTCGGGTAGATGAAGCCGCCGTTTAGTGAATAATCCCCTTCTCCAGAAATGCAGTTTAAATCCAGCCGACCGCCAAACTCCCGAACGAAGTTCACGAACACGGCAACTCCCGATCAGCAAAACAGTCGAACGCCTTCAAACAGCTAGAAATAACGAAAGCGCTGTCCCAGTAATAATTCCCCCACAAACGAGACCAAGCTCGTCTTGAGGGTCAAATGAAGATCTGTTTAATGGGGGCTACCTGCCCGGTATTTATGCAGGTCTCCACAAGGTGGACACTCCCCGAGGGGACCTTGTGGAAGATTGTAAAACATATTGGACAGTAGCCAATCGCAGTGGCTTCAATAATAGCCCTTCCCCTCTTACCCATAAATCCGTCTTCTCTACCCCGGAGATAATTAGGAAGAAACCTAATTATCTCCCAAGGTAGAGACAATCGCCATTTTAACTTACAGTAATAAAAATACATTAAAATACATAACTGAAGAAATACCGAATGCATATAGTTCGTGTAACGCATCCCCAGACAGCCTGGATCTGAATGCATGTTTTCACAGAATAGCGCTCAGATCCGATGTATCTAGTCGAATCGCCATGGAGTCAAAGTCTTTCACCAGTCCTTCGGTATACGAATGGCTCCATGGGATGGCTGTCTGGGTGAAAGTCCATACGAATGAATAAAAACTCCCGAACGACCGACGTTCGCATGCCTTGTCGAAATGCAAGGTAGGCAGCAGCTTCCAGCGGTGTTCGGTAGTTTAAGTGTCCGTTTTTAGTTCCATACAGTTTGTACCGAACACCGCTATGCGTTCGTATGTCCCAAAATGGCCGCTGCCTCGTGGTCGACATGCGAACGACGACCACCCGTACGAATGGAATGGAGAGGTGTCTGCGGTTAACCACAACGCTCTAATTGGGGCCAAGAGGTTAACCAGCAGCACACTCCTCTCCTGGGTGGTCGTTCGTTCGGTAGTTTCAATCGGTAGTTTGCAATTTACACGAACGGGGGTATATGAACAGGAAATCCAGCGAACAAAGGGAAACAGACGAACCAGCAATACAGATGAATCTGTCACAATTATATTTATCAAAAGTCACAAATTTAACCAGCCATTTGAAAAGAGACTTATTCATAGACCAGAATTGTGCCAGGTTTAAAAGAAATGTGTAAGTAACTATGCATTTCCAGAGGAAATGCATAGTGTGCTGCTAAAAGATCCAAAAAATTTAAACAAAGAACACAAAGGAGAAGAGACCACTGGATCACCCGGGACTGCACAAAAAAAGTATTTTAATGGCGATCACCCTCATCTCCCACATACTATGCTCCTTCCCACACTGTCACCCTCAGCTCCTGTCTGTGTAATTATGTGTCATTGTGTTTGTCTGGGTGTATTGCTGTGTTAGTCTGGGTATGTGTGTTTGGAAGTGTATACACTACACACAAATTCACACCTGCATTCAAACAAAAACATGCTTACATTCAAACACACAATCAGTGCTCGACAAATCCCAGGTGCCTGGTCGCCACGGCCACTAAAAATTTCGCTCTGGTATATAGGATGTGCCAGCTCTCTAATTAGTGCGGCCGTCACAGATAATATTAGAGGGGGGAGCATGAAGATAGGCGGCTGCCCGCGGGAGCATGGAGGTAGGCGGCCGCCCTAGGGAGCATGGAGGTAGGCGGCCGCCCTAGGGAGCATGGAGGTAGGCGGCCGCACTAGGGAGCATGGAGGTAGGCGGCCGCCCGCTGTAGCATTGTGGACAGCGCGCAAGGGAGCAGTACTCTGTAGCTCCTCTCTGCTCCCTCGCGCTGTGTAATGATGCTGGGAGCCGGAAGATGACGTCATTCTGGCCCCAGCATCATTACACAGCGCGAGGGAGCAGAGAGGAGCTACAGGATGACCCACTGGACCCCAGGAAAGACCCACTCAGCTATCCCAAAGGTAGGGAGGCTGAGTGGGTTTCAATTCAAACAAAAATGTGTGTGTGTGCCTGTCAGTGTCTGTATGTATGTATGTGCAAGCCTCTCAGAATGTGTGTGTTAACGCTTATGTGTGTGTAAGTCTGTCAGAGTGTGTGCGTGCAAGGGACAGGCTATAGACTCCAGGGACAGGCTATAGACACCAGAACAACTACATCAAGCTGTAGTGGTTCTGGTGACTAAAGTGTCCCTTTAAGAATTGCATTTTTTTGTTGAAAATGACTGGCTCCTAGATTCCAAACAATTTTTTATTTTTTTTTTATTTTTTTTACACATGCACTGCAGTTAAACGCAACAAACACAGCCCTGTATTAAAAACACTAAAATTATATTCAAACACCTATCCAATCAAATACCAACACTACACACAAAAATCACACCTGTATTTAACCCCTTAACGCCGTTCTATGCCGTCCCGCTTTCAGCCCCAGGAGCCAGGATTTACTCACCTCCGCCGCAATCCTCTTCTGAGGGCTGCCTGACAGCCCTCCCCTTGCAAATGAGGCCCCCAGGGGCCATGTGATCGCTCTCAAAGAGCGATCACATGGCCCCCTATAGCTGGCTGTGGATCTGCCAGCAGGGGGACTGTCTGAAATATCAGAAACATAGAATGTGACGGCAGATAAAAACCATTCGGCCCATCTAGTCTGCCCAATTTTCTAAATACTTTCATTAGTCCCTAGTCTTATCTTATAGTTATGCCTATCCCACGCATGCTTAAACTCCTTTACTGTGTTAACCTCTACCACTTCAGCTGGAAAGCTATTCCATGCATCCACTACCCTCTCAGTAAAGTAATACTTCCTGATATTATTTTTAAACCTTTGTCCCTCTAATTTAAGACTATTTCCTCTTGTTGTGGTAGTTTTTCTTCTTTTAAATATAGTCTCCTCCTTTACTGTGTTGATTCCCTTTATATATTTAAATGTTTCTATCATATCCCCCCTGTCTCGTCTTTCCTCCAAGCTATACATGTTAAGATCCTTTAACCTTTCCTGGTAAGTTTTATCCCGCAATCCATGAACCAGTTTAGTAGCCCTTCTCTGAACCCTCTCTAAGGTATCAATATCCTTCTGAAGATATGGTCTCCAGTACTGTGTACAATACTCCAAGTGAGGTCTCACCAGTGTTCTGTACAATGGCATGAGCACTTCCCTCTTTCCACTGCTGGTGGGAAATGAAAAATAAATTAAACATGTTTTAAAATAAAATAATTTATATGTAACATCATACAAAGTGTATTTTAATATTAATATAAGTACATATATTAGTATTAAAATACACTTAGAATGATGTTACATATATAATTATATATATATATATATATATATATATATATACGTATAATTACAATAATAAATAATAAAATAAATAATATTGAAACATAATTTAATATAAATTATATATTCACATTTAATTTCATTCTAACTGCATTTTGTTATTAATATATATATTATATTGGTAACAAAATACACCAATATATTGGTAACAAAATACACTTAGAATGACATATATCTAATTATATATAAAATACAAATAACCGTAAATATATATAAATACATATAATTACATAAAAGATTACAATAGTATACACGTAGAATTTAAGTACCTATAAATGCATATATATTAAAATTCTACATGTATATTTAAGTAGTCTTTTAACATAATTATGTGATTTGATTAATTAAAATTTGATTGACATGCCTGACAACATAGGCAGAAAGTGGAGAGAATTTAATCGCAAGCACTATATTTGACCCTGTAACGCTCCAAGACACCATAAAACCTGTACATGCCGGAGTAAAAATGCCTCTAAAGCTGATTGCTATGGTATGCCAAGTTTATTCATTTTGAAAATACGCATTAAAAGCAAGTAGGTCTCAAAAAATTAACATTTTCAAAAGTGGGTCTCGGGTGACGATTTTTTCTCATCTAATGGTTATGAAGGTTGAAGTAGTAACCCTGCAAGAATGATCTGCCTACTATTTATTCATGTAAATCCTGCCATGACAACCTGCAAGAGCAAAACAAAACCCTGATATTAGGACAGTCCCTCTAAATCGAGGACTGTTGGAAGGTATGCAAAATACTTTTATTAGAGATATAGCATGTAACTATATATGAATTCTGCACAATGAAAGTGCATATCCACACGAGCATACAGATAGATGGATAGATGGATGTGTGTTCTACTGGAGCGAAACATAACGAGTAGAATGTATAAAACAAAAACAAAACCATATCGTTATTTCACTGTGACACAATCACGATTTAAAACCGCTCTTTTCAGTTAGACTCACGCACACTTGCCTCGCTCTCATGGATAAAAATAAAATAAATAAATAATCAGTCGAGCAGCTTCCGGAAACGAACGCCTTTAAAAAGCGGAAGTGACCGAAAAATATGTAAATAGGCGTCACTACGTTTTGAAGTAACGGCGTTCAAGAACGGCGTTTATGGAATGGGAATAGATCCGCTGTCTAATGAAAGGCTGCTACGCGTAGGTTGCGATGCAGCGGTGGGTTCTGTTTACAAACTAGCCCTAGAATGAAAAGGAAATCCCTAAATTGTTTACTGATCATTTGCAAATATGAAGCAAGCAAAGTGCATGATCTAAGGCAGCAGTGATTTGAAAAAATGAATAATCGTTGAAAGGACTCCATCCCATAATTTCGAGATTGAGATAATGCATAATTTTTGCACGTGTGAAACAAGTAAATAAAATTGATAAACTTTTCACGCAGTCCGTGTACTCCCACCCGCCCTTATATACTAATCCATTTTAATGATGGATATGAGAAAGCAAAGCCCTAAAGTACCCTATATGCAAACTACATCTCGCAAATTATGACATTTACCATGCTTTTCTTTGTTCTGTTCAAAAAGCTCAACTTGGGGAAGTTAATTTTAAGGGGACCTGCTTTTTTTGTTTACACTTTTCACAGCTCTTAAATTCCAAAATAATTTTAATCTATAATATAATATGATGTAATTAATGTCCTTTGGGAAAAAAAAAAACAACCCCAAAATCCATCCACAGTTCAAAAACATCACATTTGACAGTAAGAAGCCATTTGTAGTGGTGCAGTGCTGCAATGTGTAAGTATGATTATTGCAATCATTGTTCTCTTTGCTAGTCACTGTTTTGACGGCCATGGATATTGCAAATCTTGTATTTGCTAAAGGCAAATACTGTTGAAATTTGGTCATTCTGATCGAATAAGCATGTCCGGTTTAAAATCATTAAAGGGACACTATAGTCACTAGAACAACTATATCTCAATGTAGTTGTTCTGGTAAGTATAACCATTGCCTTCAGTCATTTTCAGTGTTTACATTGCCCCCTAGCATAGGCGTGTGCAGCTTATTGCATTAGGGTGTGCACCCTAAAGCACAAGCACACGCCGCGTGTATATGTATGTATATATATATATATATATATATATATATATATATATATATATACGCACACACATACATACACTGCAGTGTGTGTGTGGTGTGAGGGTGCTGGTAGTGTGATGTGTGTGTGTGTGTGAGGATGCTGGTAGTGTGGGTGAGGGTACTGGTAATGTGCTGTATATGTTAGGGTCCTGTTGGTGTGCTGTGTGGGTGTTGTGTGTTTGTGAGGGTACTGTTAGTGTGCTGTGTGCGAGGGTGCTGTGTGTGTCTGCTGTATGCTTGGGTGATTTGTGGGGGTAGGGGCAGATTAGTTAATAAATATCCCCCCTCCCTTCTTACCTTATGTAGGGAGGGGGGACCGTGCTGCTGCCTTCCCTGGTGGTCCAGTGGAGGTGGGGACCAATCAGTTAATATCCCCCCTCCCTTCTTACGTTATGTAGGGAGGGGGGATCCTTGTTGCTGCTGCATTCCCTGGTGGTTCAGTGGAGAGTGAACTCTAGCCTGCGAGAGGAACCCGGCGGAGGTGTTGGTTAGAGCTCCACTGGTCCTCTCCAGCCTCCCTCCATGCTGCTGTGGGCCGGTGGACAGGGAGGCTTAGAGCAGAGCTGGTGCTTGGATAGCGTGGTCTCAAAACATAGGCGTGCCGCAGGGATTATGGTGTGCCCAGGCACACCCGGCACACCCCGTGCGCACGCTTATGCCCCCTAGGGACACCTATGAGTGGCCACTCTTCAGATGGCCATTGGAGCTGCTTCCGGGGGCAGTGCTGCACAATAAAATGAAAGTGCTGGTGCGCAAAATGTACAAAAACACCCTTAGTGAATATAAACAGCCTCTTAAGGTGATACTTGAAATTCACCACTTAGGTGTACACCCAGAGTACACCTACGTGGTGAATTTCGTGTACTCTGGGTGTATACCAATAATTGTTGTAAAACCAATAATTAAGTAATATTGTAATTTAACCAACAATGTGACAAATACATTATACTTGCAAACTTGTAAGTGCACAATTGCGGTATCTAAATAGGAGACAAAAGAAACACAGAAGGCACTCCTAGTGCAATAAAATTACAAAGTTTAAAATATATGTACAAATTCTATAGGTGTTCAACTCACAAGTTGAGAGTGGAGGATCAGCCCCTAGAGTGCGTGGGATCCAATAGATGCTCGTGACCAGGGTTGCGGGTAAGTAAAATTTCTTTATTCCAAGTACAATAAAAACATATGCAGGAAAGTAACAAGTCCACTGTCCAATCACCTCTAGGGATGAAGGACACTCGAGCTGTAGCTGCTGTCCTCATTCCGATCGTGGCTGTTATTGCCGGTATAGACGCTTCAAGCACTTCCGCGTTCCTGGTCCCATGACGTGTTTTGCCCTTCCTCTTGGGGCTATCTTCTCCCACATCTCCACCATCCACTCACCAGCCCTCTAGGGATGAAGGACACTCGAGCTGTAGCTGCTGTCCTCATTTCGATTGTGGCTGGTATTGCTGGTATAGACGCTTCAAGCACTTCCGCGTTCCTGGTCCCATGACGCGTTTCGTCCTTCCTCTTGGGGCTATCTCCTCCCACATCTGTATGCAGAGCTCCTGGCCGTGATCCAATCGGCAATTATCACAACAGTCTCAATTATACAACCAGTCTATCGAAAAGTCTTTTAAATATTATAAAAACCATCAAACCTAAAATTAATAACCCAAACAATCAAAAGGGTTAAAATATGTGTGAATCGGAAAAAAACTAATGGCAGGAATAATTTAGATAAGGAAGCATACATGGACTATAATAGTGTATAAACATATAAAGAACACCTAAAAGTGTGAAACAAAATACTGAATATATATTCGAGTATAAGCCGAGTTTTTCAGCATATTTTTTATGCTGAAAAAGCCCCCCTTGGTTTATACTCGAGTGAGGGTCTGTATTATGTCAACCTACATTGCTATAATACAGACCAGGACAAGCCGGCGGTCCTGGGGGTGGGGGAGGGCACAGAAGCCGTTACTTACCTTCCCTTCAGCTCCCCTGTCTAAATCTCGTGAGTCCCGCAGCCGTCAGAGCGTTGCCACGGGTTAACATGGCAAAGCAGCACACAGACTGCAAGAGTTAGACGGGGGAGCTGCTAGGAAAGTAAGTAAGAGCTTCTGTGGGACCCCCCACTGCTCAGTACATGCCACCGGACCACCAGGGATTGACATATCCACCCTCCTTAACCAAGTATGAAGCAGGGAGGGGGGGGGCACTAAAAAAAGTAAAACAAATAAATATTAAAATAATAAAAATGCCCTCCCCCCACCCAGTTTACACACACTACACAAACACACATACACTCGGCCTTATATATATACACACACACTGCATTCACACAAACACACTATTGTCCTCCCCCCCGGGCCCACCCCTGAGTGGGGGCCCTAAAAACTAATTGGGGGGGACCTAACGTCCTCCCCCCTGGCCCCCACCCCTGAGCAGTGGGTGGGGGCCCTAACTACTAATTGGGGGGGAACTAATGTCCTCCCCCCTGGCCCCCACCCCTGAGCTGCCCTAAATAAAAAAAATAACCCCTCCCTCCCCTGGGTGACTAGTGGTCCCCAATCCCCTAGTCACACCACTCCCCCCAAAAATTAACCCCTACCTACCCCCCTCACCCTAAAAATAATGAGGGGGGACCATTTAACTAAGTACCTGAAAAAAAATAATAAAACTTACCATTCGATGTTTTCTTTCGATATTTTCCCACGCTGTGTAATTTGACTCATAACTCTCTGAATCCACCAATCAGAGTGTTATGAGTCAAATTACACAGCGTGGGAAAATTCCAAAGAACTTTCCCACGCTGTGTAAAATGACACAGAGCACTCTGATTGGTGGATTTCAAACCAACTAATCAGAGTGCTGTGACAGGTAAATGTAGAGACTTACCTGTCAGTCTCTTCATTTACCTGTCAGAGCACTCTGATTGGATGGCTTAAACCCACCAATCAGAGTGCTCTGAGCCTAATTGCAAGACGGGGCAAGGCTTCCCCCGCCCTGCAGAGCTCAGTCTGCGCGGAGCCCTCGCCGGGTGAAGATGGATTATTATTTTTTTGCGCTCGTTTTTATTTTTATTTTTTTAGTGCGTCAGTTATTATGGCTTTTTATTTGGCCTTTTTTGGGGGCTGAAAAAAGATTTTAGAAGAAAGAAAACATCAAATGGTAAGTTTTTTAAAAAATTTTTTCAGGTACTTAGTTAAATGGTCCCCCCTCATTATTTTTAGGGTGAGGGGGGTAGGTAGGGGTTAATTGTTTGGGGGAGGGGGTGACAAGGGGTTTGGGAGGGCTATTTTTTTTTTATTTAGGGCCCCTACCCACCGCTCAGGGGTGGGGGCCAGGGGGGAGGACATTATGTCCCCCCCTAATTAGTATTTAGGGCCCCCACCCACCGCTCAGGGGTAGGGGCCAGGGGGGAGGACCCTTCCCTAATTAGTATTTCCCTAATTAGTATTTTAGGGCCCCCACCCACCGCTCAGGGCAATATGTCCCCCATTCAGGTTATGAGGGGGTCTTTTTTACATTGAGCAGCTGTTTAATAGACATGCCCCTACTCGCGGTATAGCGAGTAGGGGCATAATTTACTAATACTAAGTAATCTTTACTTAGTATTAGTAAATTTGTCTGAAAGACCAATTTTCAGCCTTTTAGTAGATAGCTCCCTAATACCGTGGGAATTTGGGAGTTATCTACTTATTCATTCCTGTCATTACACTGACTGGCCAAGTAACTTACATTTTATATGAATGTAATTTACTTGATTGTTGTAAGTGTTGCAAATGCTTACAGTTGAATCTTGGCTATGTTTGTATACTTTTTATTTAAAATTGTATACAGTGTAACATTCTTCTTCTTCCACTGGGTAAGTATATTAGTACTTAGGCAATACTGTGCTTCGGAACTTCGGCACTTTGGAAATTCTGTTATTTTGGAACTTCAGTACCTCGGTAATTCGG